CTTTCTGCTTCCAACATCCCATATGCCGAGGCTGAAAGAATGGCTGATGAAGTGATCAAGAATTTATCATGATGATTTTACAATTAGTCCAATTGAAATATTTATTTCATATTTGAGTTTTGATTTTTCTATCTATCAGAAATGAAAAAAAAGTTGTGATATATGATTTTTGTTATCATTTCTCTAAACTACCAAATATTGGTCTCTGAGAATGAATAAATAAAATAGTCATGTTTCTGTTTTTTTGTGTGTTTTGCTTCTTATTCTTCTATCTATCAGAAATCAAACAAGGTACTCAAAAAAAATTGTCTTCTACTTAAAAAAAGAATTTATTAACTATATATGAAATGATATCAAACATGTTTTTCTCTTTGAAAATTAGCATCATTGCGTGTTTTGAAATTTGATCACATAAAAAAATAATGATATGTATTTATGAAATACTTATCTTCTGAGGATACATGAAATGTATTTGATTAAATCCTTACATAAAAATTTAATCAAGTGGCTCACTTTGTGACCTCACTCACTCATGTGTCACTAGTCTTTTTGGGGTCAAAAGGGCCTTTTTGGGTACGTGATTCATGTTTAAATTAACAGACCAAATCATTGCATTTCAACTGCTAACGTTTATATGCCTAGAATTTGCTTTGTATCATACACTTCCATAATAACTCTAAGGGAATCAGCTAATGATGATGTTGGCAATACCTTCCAAATTCACCCAAGAGATTGTTCCGTCTGCGGTATGCAGTGTTTCTTTCCAAAACAATTGGTTCGTAATCATTGTCTACATCTACATAATCCATATTTGGAGTTGGAGGGGCTTGCGGAATCCAAACATCATTGAATTTGATTGAAAAGTTGTGCAGTATGCAGCACACCTGGAGCCAGTTGGTTGCGTGTGTAGCTGAAAGGACGTCTTTGATTAGGATCCGTAAATCTTGCAAAGACTGAAATCAAAGCTTGAGTTGGCCATTTCCATGTTTGCTGATCACTCTTTGTTCACTGAGTGCCCTGTTAAAATCTCTTTTCAAAGCATTGAAACTCTGTAATCATGGGCTTTTGAAAGTCGGTATGATGTTCTTTGAGCATGTGTAACCCGAGTCAGCCAAGAGATACTCATTCTCCCCAAAGTATAGATCTAGTTTTTGAGCAAGCTAAAGAAAAAGTCTCAATTAGACCAAATTGAATGACAAACCACGAGTATTTTCACTTACATGTGTTGAATTAAAGACACATTGGCCGTGAGCACTACCACACTTAGCATAGATCATTCGACCTTGGTGATTACTAACTAACAGGGTGTTGAGGGCGTAAATATGCTTTTGAGTCCAAAAGTCTTTGTGATTCTTGACCGGTGCAAAAGCCAAAGGTATGAGGGTTCCATATATACAGCCTACGCAGTCTTTGAAGAAAGACTTGCTTCCAAAATGAGCCTTGATTTGGTCTCTTTCATGTTGATTTGGCCAGTAAACGTATTCCTTTTCGAGTTTTAAAATTGCCTCTAAACATCGAAGTGTGTAGTTGTGAACTGACCCTTCTAAGAACACCAAGGGTCAGTCGCTATTGTCACCTGAACGCTGGATAGTTTTGACCTACCACTGATTCCAAACAACTGCCCTATCATATAATCACTACCACCATTTCTGCTAAGTCCCAGCCTACATAGAGTAACCATCAACTGCCATTCAACTTGTGCTTGAGGCACATTTGAGTTGTTCAAGAAGACCGGATCATCTCGAATGAGGCCGGCCAACCGGTAGAAGTTTTCTTTGGACATTTGTGCCTGGTTAAAGTAAATGCACAATATCAGATTGGTGTCAGATTAGCCAACGGAAGAAATGGAATGTACATGATGGAGAAAGTTTCTTTCAGATCCATTGAAAACCGCCCCAAATCTTAGATGTTGCAACATAGTAAGTCAATTATGAAATTGAGGTTCAACATATTGGATGTGAGTTAGATCATCAAAACCTTCACCAATTGCTAGGGCTATTTTGAGATGGTGTTGATGGATGGTTTGCTGAGATGTGGTGATAGCTTGTAGGTCACAGCTTCCTTTGAGGAAATCATTGAACACTTGAAGAAGGGAGAGAATTGATAACACACAGACTTCTTCAGAGTCGTCCAACAACATTGAGGTCGTAGTAGTTATCAAATTGAGGTGAAGGCAGGTGTATAAAACAAAATCAGACGGCGGTTGCGCAGTGGAATGGAGCACAGATAAGACCTGTGCAGAGGCTTGAGCAAGATCCTTGGATATTTCTTGCCTTCAGCCAGGACGAGGCATGATGGAAGTAGGTGATATTGGGGAAAGTATGTGTGGTGTCCTCAAACCTGGACCCAAACATAGTTTTTTTTTCCCCGCCAAAAAAATTACAAAAAAGTATGTACAGAAAAGCATGCACGTGTGCATACTTACTTTGAGTACCCTAAATGCCAAAGTCTCAAACATAAACCAAACTATGCTGTTTTCAACTCCAACAATGAAGGAATAAATGCATTGGGAATTCCAAACAACGTCACTCAGCAAATTTTTAAAAAAACAACATACATACATGAATCAATCACAAGTTTAATTGATTTGATCTTATAATACAAAACATTCAAATTTGTGTTTTATGAGCAGAGCAGGAGAGAAAGACATGAAATTAGCGCATTTGAATATGCGGACCCTTTTTATATACATTGTTCCACAAGCTGTTGAACTTCAATTCGTTGCTTCAAATCCAAATAGTCTTTTGGATTCGATGTCTACACTTAGGTCTTTTTCTGATCATTGTTTAGACATCAATGATGAATTGAAAATTCTCGCATTGGATTGAAACTTTGGGATTTTTACTATCTTCAAGGTGAGTCTGATCACCTTCTCTACCATCTCTTCCTAAGGCTGATCTTTTGGATTATGACAGACTGTAACAATCATGTGATCCAAATTCCAATCTAAGCAGTCTTTGTAAAGTTGGAAACTTGAATGTCTTAATCATCTTCTTGTGGAGAATAATGTGAAGCAAAAAGACAGATTTTTAATTTTGCATGCCTACTCTCATCTACAGATCTCGTACAAAAATGATGTATTCCATTGAATATAGCTTCCATTTTGATTATACTGATTGATGTAGAGAAGGTGAGACAAATATTGATTGATATTTGTCTGTGATGAAAAGTGAAAGATGATAATTTTTCAAAGCTAATCTTTTTGTTCGATAAAAAGTCAAAAGAATCCATAGTTATTACTTATCACCTCGATTTTGAATTGTTTTTGGTCATCTGAAGACTTACTTTTTGCTTCGATCCAATGGCTCAACGGCATTCTCAATCAGGAGCCGTCTGGAATCGTCTTTGGCATCGTCTAGATGCTTTCTCTGATGTTATGGTGAGGTCTGATGAGAGTTACTCGAAAATCGAGTATCTGTACAGGGCAATACAGGTTTGTGTTTCGGGGTTTGAGGTTTGTCCTCCACCCTCCTCTCTCGTCCATCGTAGATTCGACCTGATTCAACCTCAGGCCCTGTGATTAGCTTTTTCTGCGCTTTCCCCTGAAAGGTGGAATACCGCGGATATGAAAAACAAATCCGAAAACAACGGCTGGGACACCCTTTAGCGAAAGAGATGCAAAGTCACGAAAACTCGGTCTTTACAAGGAAATGGAACAGTTCTGGATAAATTTCCCAATGCTGATTTCCAAGGGAATGTCCTGTGAAATAGACAACATCCCACGGAGTGACTAGCTGGCATAAATGAAAACCCGTCGGAAAAAACACAAGAAGACCGAAATAACCAAAAAAAAAGAGACACCCGCACGATGACCATAAGACAACTTACGAGACAGTGCAACAGAAATATAGAAAAGATTAAAAACACAAGGACATGAAATGAAAAATACAAAGCAGAAAGGCTTGAAGGCTTGAACAATCGAACAAAAAACTGAGTTGACAGATAACCACCATAAAAGCAAATCAAGTCATCGCGATAAGGGCGGAAGGGAATCGAAAATATGGATTGATCAAAGGACAAATAAGGTAACAGATAGAAAGTTTTTCAAAAATAATCGCAATAGGAATGCCACCGAATGGCGGTCTACAGTTGAAGGCTGCCATTTGTGAACCGATCAAGCACTTGGAATGCTGAGTTTTACCTCTATAAGATTGCGGACGAGTATCAAAGCTAAGTCTGTGGAGGTTCTTCTGTAAAACTGATAGTCAAAGGATATAAAAATCAATAGACACTGCAAACTCTGAGTTCCGACTAGATGGCCATAATTCAAGCAATTTCGCACATAAAAAAACAACACCAAGTGACTCCCAACTTACGTGCGCCAAGATAGGATTAAAATTCTATCAGTGATAAAAGCTTTAACCGATAGATCTGAATTCGATGATCACTAGTAATGACCCCCATCATTGGAGATAGGGATTCCATAACATAGGACAATTGTCAATAGCCCCAGAAAATACATCGATTGAGTTGAGCTGCAGGTCGATAACCCTCTCCCATGATTTTTGACTCGACGCAAGCTTTGATCTTCTGTGCTGCTGCGTTCTATTTGTAACTTATGACTTCTCCTCAAGGAAAAACGTCTACAAAACAAAGAACAATTTAAACGCCACAGCACTAGCTACACCCTCTAACCGCCCTCGATCAAAACTTCCCTTTGTTGTGTATCAAGCATTAGACCTTGTTTTGTAAACGCCAGCTCACCTGTGCCAGGCCGAGCTCGTAACGTATTCCTTACTTTTGATCACTATTTAGGACTTGAATAGATAATCAGCGGTTGACTTCAGTGCCATTGTTAAGTCATGAGTGTAAGTATAAAGCTGTGAATAAGTTCAAGTTGTGATCAAATTAGCGAAGTTACCTGATAAGTTAATTTTAATTTACCTGATAATGATTTATGAAACATCAGTTAATGGATACAAACTCATAGGATTGATGATCTCATCAATTGTCAAACTTCATGATGAGCTAATCTTGAATGACCTAATCCACTTCATCCATGATACTTGATCGATTCTCTTCAGCTGATTATCTCATCGTTAACCTCTCACTCACCAGTGTATTTAAATATAACTTCGACCATCCATTCATTTCTTCTCGATACCTGTTCATTCGTAGACAGAATTCTAATCGATAAACTCTTTTACCTTGACATCTTCGTCTTTATAGCCTTTTTGAAGAATAAAAACATCATGTCATTCTCATTCACTCGACCTCAAACAACCAAAGAAATCATAAATACTTCAGAATTCATCACATCTATAACACCTGATTCGAACACAAGATTCTTAAACAAAATCAAATCAAAGTTAATGATTTCTAAGCTATATAATTTTTTTTCTTCGCTTAATAATTTGAGAACAACGTTTCAGATCTCAAGTTTAATAGTCTTTGACTTATTTCAAATGATAAGCTTTTTAGTGATTTTGATCTTAACTAAAGCTCAAAATTGTGATCAACCATTGAAAATATACTTAACGATGTACTTGATGAAAATTTCGTTAACTCTTCCAATCAAAGTTTATTTTAATTTCATTGAATTCAAACAATCAGGCATCAATCAAGATTCTAATGATTCTAATGATGATGATGATCATGAGTTCGAATATCATTTTTATCTACAACTTCTCTATGATTTTTTGAAAACTATCTCGTGGGTTTGGTTTTTGATGGGGAATTTATTGATATTGAATTCGACTACTTGTTCAAAGACTTCACCCTTACTTTATTTTTCGTCTCTAACGTAAGTATTCTAAGCCTTTGTTGATTTGCTATTTTATGAATGAACATGTTACTTATCTTGTTTTGTCAACTTTGTTGTGTGTTTATAAAAAAACATAGCTCACTTATCATTTTAGGTTATTTCTATTTGATGGAAATCTTTTTGATCTTACTTACACTTAACTTTTTCGTTCCAGTCACCAACGTAAGTTTTACTTATCACTTTCATATCTTTTTCCAAAGAAATACGCATACTGACCTGACTGAGGGTTCTTGACATGTACAGTTTATCATCAAATCATTCAACACCATCAAGAGAAACAAAACAATTGATAGACCAGATGAAGTTTTAATCAATCAAACCCCAATAATGATTCACCTCACTCAACTTGAGGAGTTCAAATGGAATCATCAAATGTTTCAAAAAGAAAGGAAAGAATTCGATCTCGAATTAGGATTAAGTGAAGAAGACGATCAACTTTGGATTCCATCAATTCTCATTCAAAATCAACCTCACTTTGCATTAAATGATCAATTCAATCAACTCAGTCTCCAATTTCCAAAACTAAAGAGTTTTCTTAAATTATTCAAATCCCTTAAGATCATCTGGAATCAACAATCGAACTTCTCTTCATCAACTTCATATCAATTTTTGAATCAAGACGAAAAGGTTTCATTTCAAGAAATTCATTCCAGTTATCCAATAGAAAAACCACCGAATTCCGATCCCATGATTTAATCAACCCAACTTTCTAGCGAAGTTTTTTTTATAAAATTGACTTTTGTCATCATTGTCTTTCTATTCATCCTTGCGTTTCAAAACCTTCAAGTGAATTTCTGTTCATGATCACCTTTTTCAAATCTCTTTTTCCAATCAATCCAAATCTGAATCAAATCCAACGCGGACCTTCATTATTTAAATTCTGTAACAGTATACTTTGTTTTTTTTGGTTCCTATAGCTCTCTATGTAGCTTACTTATTTCTCTCGGGTTCACAGTCGATTTTTCTTCTTTTTCTGAAATTTCACGTCCAATTCTTCACAATTTTTTTCTTACCAACTCAAACTTACATTTTTTTATAAATCTGTATACTTTGGTTTTTTTCTTTAGTCTCTATATCTCATTCTCATCATGGCTTACTTATTTCTCTAGGGTTCATCGGCAAAATTTCATCTTTGTTTAAACTTCCAAACTCTTTTTTCCTTTTGATTTTTCTTTCTCATTATGTATTGTATGATTGATATGAGATCTTGGTTTAAAGTAAAAAAACCCAGCTCAATTTTTGGATGATATAAAGATCTAAAAATTTTTGTATTGTTTTTATATTTGTGTCTATACAGTCATAGACTCATATCCTTTCTATCTTTCTCTATCTTTGTAATAAATTATGTAAGCTGATGTATGAAGTAGTAGTGTGGAAGATACATAGTGATCAAAATCTTGTGCAAAAGCGTGTCCAAGATCATGAACAAGTTGATTTAGAAATGGACTTCGATTCTTCCATTGCTGATCAACTTTATCAGAATATTAATATGAGAATTAGACTGATAAAATCACCATCAAGGACTCCTTCAAGATCATTCCAATGTTTCAATTACCAAGACTCACCAAAAAAAATCACTTGAATAAAAATCTTTTACTTATATCTTTATTGTGAATGTATGAAGATTTATGATATCTTTGAATTGATTTCAATCTTCATAACAGCTTTATTCAGAAATATGGATTTAAAACTCTTGAAAACCTCATTTGATTATGTCCGAAAGATCTTTTGTTTTTTGTGTGGAAATCTCATCACAAAGTTAATTAGCTCTTGTCAGTATAGTTGATGTCCGCTATCAAATCCTAATGATGAGCGTATCAAAAGACTCATTCATATTTGAATTGTGTGATCTTAAACAAATTCCAAGACTGTGACAATGAGGAGTCGGGCCTGTCACCCTCGGGGCTCGACACAAGACCCGATCTGATCGGGTTCATTATATCATCATCAGTCTGTCTTGTTGACTCTTCTCTTCTAATGGTGATCGATCAATCGAACCTGAAGCAATCCTCACATCTTCACTTTGGGTAGTAGACTGCTAGAGTCCTCCCTTCAAAGAACAAAGAACAACAAAACCAACCCTTCATCGATCATGGCAGTACAAGTCAATCAACTCAGTACAACAGCTATTACTGCTCATGCCTTTAATGCAGATCGATCTCGTCAGTCTCTTGGTTTCTTCTGACGTCTCTTTTTTTTGGGAAAACACCTATTCATGATCCGATTAGTTATTGATCATACGTCTTTTTTTTTTGATCGATTATAAGAACTTTCGGTTTGTGAAAATACAAATGAAGTGAAACTTTATTCGAAATCAGGATCTGGCTGGTCTTTAACTGAAACCCTTACAGATGTAAGTTTACTTTCTACTATCTACACGAATTCGAATTCTACTTTGATTTGAGAATTCAATCTATCAAGACTAATCTGTACTCAAACTTGATCTTTTCTTTAGCATGATAAAGTAGTCACCTCAATAGATTGGGCACCAAACCGAAACCAAATCGTTACAGCTTCACAAGACCGTAATGCATATGTTTGGAATTACGAAATCGATCCATTAGATCCATCATCCAAAGCAAGATGGCATCCAACCTTAGTTTTGTTACGTTTGAATCGATCAGCTACTGTAGTAAAATGGTCACCAGATGAACAAAAATTTGCCGTCGGTTCTGGTTCTCGTACCATTGCAGTTTGTCAATATGATCATGAATCGAATTGGTGGGTTGCAAAACATATCAAGAAACCTTTAAGATCGACCGTCTTGGCTTTAGATTGGCATCCGAATTCCGTCTTACTCGCTTCTGGTGCTGCTGATGGTCGTTGTCGTGTGTTCAGTGCATTTATCAAAGGAGTAGATAGTAAACCTGCACCGAATAAATGGGGTGAAAGATTACCTTTTAATACGGTTTGTGGCGATTTCGGATCTCCGGCTGGTGGTTGGGTTCACGATGTCGCCTTTTCTCCTAGTGGTGATGCTCTAGCCTTCGTTTCTCATGATGCTACCGTCACAGTCGTTTATCCTTCTGGAGCAGATCAACCTCCATCAGCCATCTGGACGATCAAACTAGCTAGCTTACCACTCCTTTCACTCTGTTTCTGTACCGAGGATGTCTTTGTGACGGCTGGTCATGATTGTCAACCGGTTTTGTTCTCGGGTGATCAAGGAAATGGTTGGCAACAAGTCAAGAGTTTAGATGAACAGAAAGGAGGTGGATCGGCTCAACAACAACGTGGAGGGAATCCGGCTGGAGGGATCGGTCGACTGAATAATGAAGCGTTTAATTTATTCAGAGCTGCTGATTCACGTGGTGTGACTGGACCATCAGGTGGAGCCGTAGCTGGAGGCAATCGTGCAGGAGTCGATACAGTTCATTCTAATACGATCACTAGCATTCGACCTTTTTCAGGGGCTTCGGGTTCGGTGAATCAAGTTAGTACGAGTGGGGTAGATGGAAAGGTAGTGATTTGGAACCTTCAATCCGGTGGTCTAGGAGGAGTGACTAAAGGGATGGGTAACATGAGGATGTAATGATGACGACGGTTTTTTGTTGTTGTTCATCTTGGTTCTTGATTGACCAAGTTTGAAACGTGTGAATCTTTCCAGATGGGTATTTTACAAGTGATGACTAGAATAGATGTACAATGATGGCAATGAATTGCAGACTCTTTGTGATATAGGTTGAGACCAAAGATAAATAAAGAACCCATCTAAATTGCATCTGCATGATACCAAACTATTGATCTCAACCCTCGCCTCACAAGTAAATCTAAACTGATGAAAGTGAAATCCAAATTACTGAATCTTAAGTTTAAGAGCTTCTTCAACCCTACTACAACCAGGAGAACGAGTACAAAGAAAAGTGATGGGTTCAGAACTCGATGAATCATTAATTAAACATTTGATATCTTCTAGATCTGGACAAGGACAATCGACGGGTTTTGAAACACATTCAAATGATCTACAAAAAAAATATACCCACCCCAACCGAAAGAAAAAAAAAACAGATCATTAGAAAGATATGTTTCTTTGGATTTTCGATTTTGGATTTCAGAAAAAGGAGAAAAGGTTTTAGGAAATCATGGTGTTTGACGTACGTTGGACAAAGGTAATTTGAACAAATTGATTTTTCAGAAACTTGTCGAAGTTTATCTGATGAAGATGAACCTGTTTGATGTTCATGATGATGATGATGATGATGAGATTCTTCATTTCCTTGATTAAAGAATTGCTATATAACAAAAAAAGATAAATGAGTCAACATATATATTAAGATAAATGAATGGATTTTGGATTAGAAATTTACTTCGAAGATATTACCGAATTGTGATTTAGTTTGATATGTTAAGAAAATCAAAAAGATTGTTATGATTGATTTGATCATTTTCTATGAGTTTTTCGTTTCGGTTGTTTGTGATTGAGGTTTGATTGATGAAGTTGATTTGAAGTTTCTAATTTTATTTGCTTTGAGGATGGTGGTGGTGATGGTGATGAGGTGGTGAATCGTGATGATGTGGATGATCGGTTTACCGTTTGACTCTTGAGTGATAGGCTAACCTCTTTAAACCCATATGTTACATACACAACCTGTCACTGTCCAATGTCACCGAATGGAAAGCTAACACTGTGACAGTTTGTGGCCACTGGTGCTGAAGCTGGCTCGATTTCTAAAAGTTTGGATAACTGTCCTCTCAGATATCTAAACAATGAACACCACACAAATGCCTACACAAACATCCAAGAAGTTTCAAAAGTTTTATAAATTCTCTAGTTTTATTTTGCGTCAGGTTGATATAAATTTCAAAGAGAAAGATTATAAGAAAAAAATATAGTACATTGGAGTTTTTTTTGGATTCGATAAACAGATAGTTTAAAGCAAAAGAATGCTTGATTTTACAATAACAGATACATGTGATATAGATATATTTTCTAAGCAAAAGTGTACAGAATTGAAGAAATACAGAAAGGAAAAGGAAAGAAATTCTTTGGAGATGTACAACAACAACAAAAGGTTTTTTTTTTGAAAGAAACAAGAGGGATGCTTGAATTTTTGATGAGTGATAATAAATCATCACTTAAGTAAAGAAATGGTTTAAACAACTGGGATGACAAAACTTGAATTGGATCGGAATGATTTCTTTAGTGATTTCAATCCATTCAAAACATTCGATTGGTTGATGATTTTTTAAAGTTTTACACTCATCACATTTCCAAAAGGATTCCATTGGGTTTAAGATTTGATGAATTAAAGGGGTAGGTAACCGAACTGAATTCAAATCTTGAATGGTCAATGATTTCAAAACTGGTTCTTCTTCGGTGTTTTGATTTACACAGATTCTTCTGATACAACTTTTTTGTAATGAATCAGTTTGAGGATCATAGATGGGTTCTGAAACGATTCTTTGATTGGAAAGGTTTAAAGTTTTCAAAGGTTTTGGGTACCAAGGATTACCTGAAAGAAGTAACTGACAATGATTATTTCGGATTAGATTAAGAATTGAACTTGGTAAGAACTTTAGATGATTATTAGTTAAGTTTAATTCGATTAATTGATTTAATTCTTGAATTTCTTCTGGAATGATTTCGATTCGATTAGATCGTAAAATAAGTCTTGTGATCGATTTCAGGTTAGTGATTATTGGTTTGATGTTCGTTAAATGATTGTTTGATAAAATCAAATTCAAACCTGTGAATTGATTGGATGTATATGAATTGTGAAATGATGAAGGTGCTGATGAAACTCGAGTTAAAGTACGATGACGAGAAGTTGGAATGGATGGGTTGGGTGGATCATTAGGTTTTGTTTCTAAGCGTGAAGTGGATGTTAAGACTTCAAGTTCGTTGATACAACTTGGAATCGTAGAGAGAGATTGATTACTGAAATCAAAAAGTGAAAGCAATCTTTGTAAGTTAAGTTTGGTAAAGAAGAAAGAGAATGGAAATTGAACTCAACGCAAGATCTACAACCAATGTGCGGTTAGCAATAGCCTTTCGGATTATGGTCTTGACTCGATTGAAATCACGATCTTGAGCCGAAACAAGTTCAGGGAAAAAGATACTAGATGGTCTATGTTTAAGATGGATTGAATTTCTTTCTTGATGATGACAACTCTTTGGTTTTTTGGCGATGATACTGGTGATAGGTTGGTGATGGTCAAGAGATGAGATAGATTGTGATGATCTACTTAACTTTTCAAGATGTTGAGGAGAGGTATAATGTTCTTTTGAGAAAGAAGGTATTTGAGATGAATGAGATTTATAAGATGCTGAGAATGGATGATGATTTGAAGATAACATATTGCTGATTGAGTAACTGGTGAGGGTGAGGGTGAATGTGAATGTGAATGCGAGGATGAAAGAGAGAAGAAAGAGAAAGAGATAAGAAACTTAAATGGATTGAAGATATGAAGAACCCTCTCAGCCCTGGAGATGGCAAATGATTACACAAACCATGGAGATGGTCATCAACATGGTCATGGTCATGGAATCGGAATCGGAATTGGACATGGAGTTGGAGATTAACTGAAAATAGTCAAACAGTTTTCAGTTTCAGATTCGATTACCAAACTCAGTCAAAAACAAAATGAAACGAAAACATTCAGAACAAGAACTAACAACCAAATCAACCAAACAAAGAATCACAAGAAACAAATCAAAATCAATCAAAATCACCAGACCATCATCACCATCAACACCAACTCAATCAAAACAACAACAACTATCAAGATTCACTACAATTCAATCTGAAGAACAAGAACAAGAACAAGATCAAATCACTCCAACTCAATCAAAATACAAATCAAATCAAAAACAACAAGAACTAGAAAAGGAAAAAGATCAACAAGAACAGGATCAAGACCTTCATATCATTTCAAACAAGAACTCAAAGATACAAGTTCTATTAAATCATTACAATGAAGGCAAGAAAAGTACCAAAGATTACAGAGATACGATCGCACAACTATCCAACCTGATCTCCAAAGACCTATCAACTTCACTAATCACATGGGATCATGAACTAAGAAACCATACTGAACCATACGATATGTATTCTAAAACGTTTACACTCTGGCCATTAAATTTATCAGCTTGTCCTCAATCTGAATGGACATTTAATGAAGAAATCATAGGATTATTAAATCGATTTTATTTTCAAAAAGATGAGATTAAATCTAACTTATTGAAGGATGATGAAGATTTCGATTTCGAGTTGAATGAAAGTCAATCGAATTCTATTTCAAATCAAATCCATCTTACTTTCGAATCACTCTTGACCGAACTTATTAAATATGTACCAAGGAATCCGGTCAATCGAAAATCAAAACAAATCCGACTTAAAGACTCGAATCCATCGATCCAGAAAGATTTAGATCCAGGTTTGGTTAAGAAAGATTTAGATCCAGGTTTGAAATGGAAAGACGTTTTGACCGTTTCAAGTACACTAGGAATCCATCAAAAGTCAGTTTGAATTCTTTGTTTTCTTATAATCCAATATCTAAGATCACTTACTTTATCCTATTTGCTTTTTTTCGGATACATTTAGTGTTTTGGACCGTACAAGAGATAGGTTAGAAGAACTTTATCATGGTACTTTGATCTTTGATCATGTGTTAAGTCCAATTGTTGAATAAATTTAATTCACTTTTGATCGTTTGGTTTCTTCTTTATGTCTTATCCACTCGAGATGTATCTTATTTAGTGTTTTAACCTTTTGCTTGCAATGGGAAGTTTGCTTTTATTTAATTATTTTCACAAGCTTTGGTTTTCCAATGTATAACTTTGAGAGTGCATCTTGCTTAAAAATCTTACACTAAAAGGTACGAGGAGCCAATGACCATAACTCAATCCACTACTTAAGAAGGCAACCTGTGATGATGACCTCGTAGATACCCTTGATGAGCTGAGTTTCCGTGTATCTATGAAGGTTATATCTCCATAGTTGAAGTACACAGGTATTTTCTCAACATGGTCCATCTTCATTTGGTCTATGTACGACTGAATCTGTCTTAAGAAGTTTTTTCTGGTTAGTGTGATCTATGCGGTTTTCTAAACATCCCTTAAATATGTTCAACACCTTTAAACATCCCTTGGATATTTTCAACACCTTCTTTCTGAAAAACCAACATGCTTGAAACTCATATGGGTTGGTTGCTTGTTAAGTCTGATTGAGAGTCAAATTGGTGCTAGTTTCGGACATCTTACCTTCAACCTAAATTGGTGATTCTCTGCACTTTTGACTTTGTGGATACATTCATTTACAGGAACATCTAATCTTTCGACCGGCTACGAAATCGCCATGATGATGATGATTAAGCTCCAGAAGTGAGGCTTGAGCATGGGCAAATTCGGTCATCCAGAGAATCAAGACTGGTTTTCTAAGGTGGCTTACGCTTTGAACTTTCTAAGCCAAAGCCAAAAACTAGTCAAGTACCACCTCCACCATAATGACACATATAGATTTGATTGAACTCTGACGCAAAATCCATCCCCGGAGTCAGCCATCAGGAGCCATTTCCTACCACTTTTCTGTACATATCAACATGCATATAACAACACATCGAACATTCAAAGTCGCTCCTTACCAACTTCCAAGTGACAAATAAACACCCAAAATGAAGGTTGACGTCATCTTACTCCGGGATTTGACCGGTGCTTGATGTTCAAGACGTGCAGGAATCTTGATTATGATAGGGATTCAAGGCCCAAGGGAGACCGGAACGAGCTTACAGAGTGAGTAAACATCTCCCTTTGTACAGTCAAACCGGAAAAGCTTGACCGATTTTGCCCGCAAAACTCGAGCAAATTGGCGGGGAATTGGTGGCAAGCTTTTCCGGTTTGACTGTATCATGATCCTGATTCATCGGTGAGCAAAACAAGACCGATTTGTCTTGAACTTTCTTCTCCATGGACCACGAGATCGGTCAATTCCGATGAGGTCATGGATCTTACTTTTGTGTCGATCAGCATGATTCAATAAACACCATGCCACATGCCTGCGGGAGAAAACTTAAGATGAATCAGTTTTTAGATTTTTTTTTTCGAAATGATGTTCATCAGTCATCTCAAACAGCCAGGTGGTTCATCTAAATTTTTTAGCACAGTTGGAAGACACCACAGCAAACCACAAAACCATGCCAAGCTTAAAATCATCATTTTTACAAAGTCATGAACTGTCAAATGATCCTCAATTGAAGTTTATCTCATGATATGTGGACCATATCCAATTCTAACGACTTGATTGAATTGAATCTGATGATGGTTTGAGAAAGCTTCATTTTATTTTGAACATATTTTTTAGTCAAAAGAACTCACATTTGAAGAGGAATTATGTAAGTAAAATCAATTTTAGCAGACTATGTGAGATGAATTGAGCCAATCTGAATACAATTCCAAAATAAATAAAATAAATCATTTCAAAATCTTTGATGAAATGATATTCCCATCTTTTTATGTTCTGGTGCTTGAAGTTTGAACTGATTTGATTGAATTGAATTTGAGTTTGTCTGTGCCGATACCAATATAGTTGTGGATAACTTTTAGGGTGTGCACGGTCTGCAATAGAATTGGTGTGGGGCTCAAAGTGGCTTGGGTCTCTGGTGGGAGGCAAGGAAGAAGGGTTCTACTCTCTTTTGTCTCCTCGGCCAGTTTTCCGTTTCCTTTGCTTTCGATCTCTGACTTCCTTTTGCTCTCGCATTTCTTTCTTTCACTTTGATTTCCCATTCAACTTGCAGTCTCTCAGTTCATCACAATTCACCATCCTTCAACCATTTTCTCATCTAAGCCAAGTTTTCCATTTCCATCTTCGATTCTTCGTGCTTCTATCCTTTCCTGATCTGACTCTTCAATTCCTTCACAACCCAGTCCCCAAAACCCTATTGCACCCCATCCTATTCCGTCTCACTTGCTGCCCTTCTTTCTCTGTCTTTCATTTGAGCTGTCACCAATTTATCTTTTATAGATTCTTTCTTTTTTAAACGGTACCGACCCAGTCTCGTGAGACGCCTTCTTTCACCGTACAGATACGTAAGTTTCTATTCTTTGTATTCGATTCATCGAAAAAAGAAAGAGAACATTCGATTCTGATCACGACTTGATTTGTTTGTTTGTTTTGTTTGTTTGGGTGTTGTTTTTCTTTAGCAAATTTGATCCAACATTTGATCAAAACAAAATTAAAGCATGGAATCCGACGAATCGAGTAATACTAGTCTGGTCAGTAGTAATGGTAGTGTTAGCGATAATGTTAGTGATCATCCTAGTAATAGTAGTGATACTTTCAATCGTGATGATTTCTTTGTTATTGCTAGTTGCTTCAATGATAATCAAGTGACTAGGCTTAATTGAGATGTTGATAATCCTTGTGAGGAAATAAATCAAGTGATATATGCACTCATTTACTCTAATCCTACGATATATATATTTATCTACACGCCTTGTCTCACAACATTATCATTATCTTGACCATGACCATCTTGAATTACGCGGAGAATAAAGCGAATAGCTCAAAGTAACTGATTCTAACTTGGTTTGATTTTTCTAAACTTTTTGGTTTGGCAAGGCTAAAAAGTGTGAAGATGAATCGAATGGACTAAAATTAAATCACTTCAATCAGCCATTGAAGTCACCTAATCTCGAGGACAGTGAGCATGAAGGACAAACGTATAGAAATCAAATTAACAATGGGATCAGTAATGTGAATTTAATGCGTATCCCTCTAGTCTCATCTTGCTGAGCTGTGATCTGATTTTGAATGAAAACTGATGACTTGATCCAATCCACCATCTCAACAAAACAGACATTGTTAGTTTCGCTTTATCCTCAATCTCATCAACTTAATCATCATCATCACCATCATCAAGAACAACAGCATCAACATTTAAAGCTCAATGGAAATCACAATAATGTTAATACTAACAAGCTCAGTCCTAATAATATCATTACCACCTCTCCAATCCCACCTCAACCAACAACTAATCCCGATCTGACATTTTACTCGGCTCACGGTCATCTACCTAAATCCGATTCATCTCCTCTTTCACCTCTTCATTCACTCTCAACTCAACAACAACTTAGAACTGATCTTCACTCTCAAATTCCTCACCACATTAATCAACTAGATCGATCAGAAATCACGACTTCTTCCAATACTAATCATATTCACAATAATAATAGCATGTCTACCCAACATACTTGTGATCCTAGTGCTACTACTTCCACGGATTCTAATTCCAATAATTCTGATTCTAATCCTAATTCTAATATTATCAAACCTTCACAACCTCAGAAACAGCAATCCCATTCGAGTCTAAATTATAATGATCACATCAAAAATGAACCAGATCTCCAGCAATCTGCCTCCTCAATCTCCAACCATGGCTCACAATATCGTCGTCCTACAGGGTTTTCTGCTCGAAACAAGGCTTCACTTTGCATCTCTACTAGTTCTACCCTACCTCATACTCACCTTGAGATTGATCAGAGTGGGACTACTACTCCGCTGAGCGCTCAAGCAGCTCATCAATTCATTCTTTCGCCTCGTCCGCTCATTCCAATCTCTTTAACCGACTCTCAAACGGCTTTCATGTCACCTCCTCCAACCTGTTCAAGTACAACCACAAACACCTATCAATCACTTCCATCTGGTTTGCGGCCCAATGATTTATCCCAGATCTCATCTTCTTCGTCATCAAACTCTTCAGAAGATGGCCCGTCAGCTAATTTTTTCCTTTCATCAACTCCACTTTCTTCGGTACCTGTATCTCAACTTCTGCCTACCAAAGATACCCGATCACCACAATCAAATGGCTCTGCTACCCATCCAACTTCGTCTCATGTTCGTCATCCGAGTAACTCCACTAGCTCTATCGGTCCTAATGTTGCTGGTCGGATTGGCGTGGGCGGTAATATGATGGTGGACCCCCACAACTCGGCTGCGATCATTGCTCAGAAGGGTGGAGTAGGAGCCGGTGCATTTGTCTACAAGGTCTACAATGTGAGTTGAAATATGTTCAGCGAGGTTCGACTTTGAGCATATATGTGAGATGGTCGACTGAGCGCAGTCTTACAATTTTTACCTAGATGCTACTCGATCCCTCATTTCAACATTTAATTTCGTTCAACTCGAATGGTCAGTCATTTACCGTCACCAACGTTCAGGAGTTTAGTAAAGTTGTGTTACCCAAACATTTCAAACACAAGTCAGTCAAATATCTCATTTATACGCTCATATATGTGTAACCTGAGCTTACCATACCTTTGAGTTCCACTCTAGCAATTTCTCGAGCTTTGTTCGTCAGTTGAATATGTATGGATTTCACAAAGTCAATAAAACTCCACGAGGTCAACGTGGGAATGATAATAACGCATCATGGGAGTTTATTCATCATAAATTCCATAGAGGTAGACCAGATCTACTTGAACAAATCAGACGGAAACCTCTCGAGAGTGAATCAAGCTCATTCCCACGCAAGGATGTAACTTCTATGAACCTTACGAATTTCTTTATACATCCTCAAGCTTCACGGACTACGACGAATTGTAGTATGATCAATGATCATAGTGCTTTTATTCCTAGTGGAGGTCCATCACCGTTACAAACTCTTAATCCACATCTTCATGCTCCACCTCCACCACCTTATCCCATCTCACCTACTAGAGCATTCAGCATGAGTCATATACCACATCCATCTTTTTCTTACCCTCCTCCTTCAATCAATCCAACTCAATCTCTCTTACCAGAAAAATCTAAAAAACCTGATGGTGAGATGACTTCAAACTTTTCATCACTTCCTCCTGATTCGGCTTCACATCGATCATCCATATCGATCCCATCTCAAGTTTATTCGCAAAAGTTATCGGTTCCTTCGAATCAATTACATACAAACGGATCTCAATCTTATTCGCCTCGTACGGTTGATACAGCAGGACTTGAGCCTGAAGTATTATCACCATTTAGTGGTCACTTTGATCCTACTAATCTACAAATGAATCATAATCTTTTGGGATTACCACTTGATTCATGTAACACAATGAACAGTGAACCAAACGAAAACTTTGCGAGCTTTAGAAATGAAATGATTGCTAGGTTTCATGGAGTCGGTGAAGGTTATGAAGCTCTTTATCGAGAGCTTTATGAGACTAGACGACGTCAGGATGTTCTAGTAGATGTATGTGGTAGGATGTATCGTACGCTACAAGTGCTTACCAACGGAAATGGTAAGTTGTTTTGATCGTTGTTTGACCATTCATCAACAAGAACTGATATGAACTTTTGTTATTTTGTAAAGTTGGATTCCCATTTCCAACCCAAGAGCTCTTTGCAAGACCTACAGAAGACACTCAACCGACATTTCGAATCACCGAACATGACCATCAAAGATTACCACAAAAAGATCATTCACCATCAGTTTCCGATTTTCCCGAACAACGTAACAGACCATTATCATTAGATCCAACTGCCTTCAATGGATTAACTCTCACAAGTTATCCTAGTTCCCCAGCTTATCCTGATAGACCTGGTACATCTGGATCAGATCTACAAGCCAACAGTTCTGATGGAGTCATCAAAGGTAAGAAAAGACCGGCAACTGGATCTATGGATCTTTCGAATTTACCTCCACCTGCTCCAAGAAGATCTTGAGTTTATTTGTTTTTCTCTTCCCTTTTGATTTTGATCAAACTTGTTATATATTCTATGATTTGAATTTCTTATCGTTGTTGAGTTTTTCTTTAACTCGTTCTTTTTGATTTTGGTTTTTATGTTTTTCATCTTTCATTTCATATTAGTTTTTTATTTTGTTGTCTTTTTTTTGTGATTTTTAGGAACTGATTTAATGAGAAAAGGAAGATATCTGTGTTTAATTTTCTTTAAAAAATTTAACTTTTTTTTCATACACATACACATAAATACGTTTTGGTTTTTCTATTTGATTTTTTTTTTTTTTAAAAAATTTCATAGTGTTGTGATCATCATCCCATTCGAATGTTAAATCCTAATATATTTTTTTCCATTTCTTCTTTCCTTTAATGTTTCGTATTCAAAAGAAATTAGAAATTATTTATATTTTGCAAGAGATCCATTAAAAAACCAATCAAAGCATTTGAAAGAGCCAATCTTTTTCTCATATCTCTGGGGTTTTCCTGTCCATCTTTTAATTTAATATATCATTCATTTTATTTTTATCTCTGTTAGATTTTTGTCATGTTTTTGATTAATCTTTGTTTTAGATTTCAGTTTGGTCTTTCTTTTGTAAATATCGTTTTTTTTTACTAAAGTTTATCATATAGTCAAGTCAGTTGAGATTCCTAAAGAGTGTCATTGATCCCTTGAGAGTAGAGCTTCAGCATTATTATTAGCCGAAGGTTATCTCCAAGCTCAACATCATGGTATCAACATATTTTGAGATCTTCAGAATGATCCAGGGTTAAAAGCTGTGGAAATCAATAACCCAACATAGCACAAAGGATGAAGGCAATACATTCAAGACGATGAGCTACATTTTGGAAAAAAACATAGAAACCAAGACTGACTGCAACTCTGGACAACTCGGTGATCAATTTCTTCCGTTTCACGTCGGCTCATCTTGCAGTGCCAAGCTTTATGGGGAACATCAACTTGCACCAGAAACATTTTCGAGTGTCACAAACACAAAACAAGAAATTTCATTGCTTCACATGGGAATGCCAGACGAGATGATACCTGATGATACATAATAGCGAGATTCCTGGATGTCCCACAGCAAAGTTTATCCATAGATGCAACCTCTTACATACATGAAGAAGTGTGATTCCTGATCTCAAGTTCAAATCGATTGCGGATCAATATGATGCATAGCAATTGGTCAAAAGTCTTGAATGACAGCGTGCCTTGGAATCTAGAATCGCAATCACATGAGGAAACCGTATTCCATTCTGTCTTTGCTGTTTCCGGCTGGTACACCAACTCCGTCAACTCTCTGTTTATTGACAATTGTTTTCATAAAGGGTTGGAGGAAAGGGCCTCTTGTTTATGAAGCGAGATGAAGCGAGTTCATTTGATTATTCAGCACCATGCATGAATCCAGCCCGTTGTTTGCGTGAATTTGGTAGATTGAATGGATGCTAAGATGTCCTTTAATGATCCTCAAATAACCAACACTTTCACTTCTTCTTTTGACCATCATATCTATATTCGATCAAAGTTTCTCTGGAAACTGAGTTAAAACGGTGTCGTCAAGGAATGAAAGTTCATAGAGATTGAAAGAATTGTCAACCATATCCATCTCGATCGATGGACCTAACCCTTCTGAAGATATACATTTTTTAGTTAGACAAACGCTTTCTCCGCCTCGGGATTATGAGGACAATGCAAGCAGTCCAAAAGAGTTAAAATACCAAAGTTCATCAAAGTTTAGGAAACAGCAGATAAGATCATTTGAATTAAGTGTTTTGTTTGAGAAAGTCAATAACCCTTTCTAGAAACTTAAACCTCTAAATTCAAATTACAAATTAGAACTTAAGGATTCTTTTATTAATTGATTGATTTGATATCAGCTGTTATCTCTTTGGCAATTGAACACTTCGACTTTACCAATTACCAATTACCAATATCTCAACTTCAATCAACTTTACTTCAACAACAGGTTTGGTAAGTCGTCTTCCCCTTCCTCACTCTCCTACACATCGATTACTACCACATATTATCGTCATCATCATCATCACATTCGCTGGTTACGCCTCAATCATCTTACCCTCTCATATCCGGATATCACCCTTTTCTCGGTCCTTTTTGACTCATTCTCATCGATCGTTCACAGGTTTATCAACTACTCAACTTGTGTAGCATCTCAACTTCAACATGGCTCTTAAACGTATCAACAAGGTCTGATCACTCCTCAAATATCTCAACTTGACCCTTCGTAAGTTGCTGATCCGAGGTACTTTAATTTCACAGGAGTTGCTTGATCTCGGCCGCGACCCTCCCTCCTCTTGCTCAGCTGGTCCACAGGGCGATAACATGTTTCAGTAAGATATGCTTCACTTAACCTCCTTACTACTCTGTCCAGGCACTTTATTTCAAATCTGATCATTCTTTCCTACTTGTAGATGGCAAGCTACTATCATGGGACCCGCCGACAGTCCCTACGCTGGTGGTGTTTTCTTCTTAATAATCACTTTTCCAACCGATGTAAGTGCATTTTAGAGAGTTGGTTGATGATATGACTTCCTCGATTATAAATTGACTAATGCCGATTTTGTTTCGATCCCCCAGTATCCTTTCAAGGTACATCTCTTAGCCTCATATGTACTCTCTCTATGTGAATGTGCTGAACCGCATTCATCATCTTTGCCTGTAGCCACCCAAGGTTTGCTTTCAAACCAAAATTTATCATCCTAACATCAACGCGAACGGCTCTATCTGCCTTGATATACTGAGGGAACAATGGTCACCAGCTCTCACCATCTCCAAAGGTTAGTCAACCTCCTGCTTTGCACTAGTCTGATTGTTTACTTTGATTGGACTACCAATGTTCATGAACCATGCCGTCCTTTTCAGTATTACTCTCCATATGCTCGATGCTTACCGACCCGAATCCGGACGATCCACTCGTACCGGAGATAGCCAACCTGTACAAAACCGACCGAGCAAAATACGAGGCAACTGCTCGCGAACACACCCGTAAAGTAAGCCTTGCTCCACGTCACAGGTCACCGCTTTCATACAGATTAGGAATCTCACATTCTCATTTCCCATGTTTTGTTTATCTTCTGTTCTGTTATCATACGCGATCACCAATCACCTGGAATCCCTTTTATCTTGATGCTCTCACAACTATCTCTTCATCTCTTTTTCTATTCTATCAAATAGCACGCCATGTAACTTCTTTGCCCGTTTATCATCACTCTGTTTTCAAAACTTTGTTTTTTGTCTATAATGAACCAGTTTACGGTCCCGTGAGAGCTAGCTCGTTGATGTACAAGTATCATGGGGAAGTGGAGGAGTAGGAATCCGAATCGATATCATCACACATGATATGTTCTCTGCCAACGCATGGCCCAATATGTTGAGTTTGCTCAAGAGTCTTGAATCTATGGGCTCGGCTCGGAGACCTTGATTGTCTGGTTCCGTGAACTTCGATAGGGACGAAGCTCAAGAAGTCCCCTCTACAATGGATTATTTTCCACATGACTTAACTCATTACCACAACTTCTTCCCGCTGACTGCTTACCTAAAAGCATAGCACAGCCTTGATCAAGCGTGCCATGTCCACCTATAACTCGGCTCTCAGGAGGCCAGCATGTATATTTGTGGTACAAGCCATTACATACTCAAGTTTGGTACCTGTAAAGCCAATTTGGGGAGAAAGAAACCAACTCATTTGGATAGGGACACAATGTAATAAGGACTTGTTTAAGGTAAAGCAGGGGGTACCGTGCATAGTTTTTTTGTGTTTTTTCGCAACTACAAACAACTTGGAAAAAGTATGTTTCTTGATTGAAGCTCAAAGATATGTACTTTTAAGCCAAAAACATAGTTTTCCCTGGTTGTGTGAAGTTGTGAAAAAAGAAAAGAAAACTATGCACAGCAAAGTATACACAACTTTGAGTACCGTAATATTACCTGTGACCTGAAAGATAAGGAAAGATGTCAAAATAGGCGGAGATTATTTAATCTATCACAGATTGACAGTGATCTTTGGGGGGGCTATGAGAGTAGGTCTCTTGTTTTCAAAGATTATTATTATTGGCCTGATAAGTCACAAATTTGTTGGTAAGTTTATAAGCAAGACTTCTAGCCTATACAAATCAGTTGTGACCTAGATTGGAAAGTAAGATGTTAGAAACATGAAAAAAAGAATACTTAATCTGAAAAATTATGAAAGTGTCTGAAATATAAGGAAAGATTTCAAAATAGGCACAGTCTAGAGATTATACCCCAACAAGGGTTATAGAAAGCTGAGAGGGGATAATTTACTGATAAAATAGATAGTAGAAGATGTCTACTAACTGCCCTCCTAAAACAAACCTGCAATTTGAAATATCTCTGTTGATCTGAGTACTGATAAGGAACCAAAGTGAAATATATCTCAATGTTTAAAAGGACCAAAAGCATCAGTTTTCTAAAATGAAAGCAACTGATTTAATCATCTCTCAACACCTTTAGAGTTATTCCAGTCTGATAACAAAGAGAAAAAAGTGCAATATCTTTTTGGTATTTTTCTCAAAAAGACTTCACAAGTCACAAAGCTATAGTACTAAAGTGAATTTCTCTTTATAATTGTAATAAAGGGTTGATTTAAGTGACCAGGTAACATTAAAATAAGTTTATAATGATAAGCAAAATGATGAAGGGCAAAGTGAAAAAAATATCCAAAATCATCAACCTGGCATACTATATAACTTCAAATAGAATCTTTGAATAATGGTCAACAGCCTCAAAAACCCAATCCTTTTGGACAAAAACCTCTGAAAAACCACTTCTACACATCTTAATAACAATCCTTGTATGATCTTATGAATATTAATACAACTTTAAATAAGCCACTGTGAATATTGTTAATTTATTCTTATGATTAATTAAGCTTTCAAATCGATGTAAACTGAGCTGAAAAGTATATGTAAGAATAGAGATTTTATCCAAAGTGCTCTAACTTTTGATCACTAAAGTTCATCCATTCTCAAACTAAGAGATGTCTAGGTTTTGGTCAAACTAGAAAGACATGAATTATATTTCAAATGTATTAATTCAAATCAAGATTGCTGGTTAGGCAAACCACAACTTCCCTAATGTTGGGGAGGTTTAGGTTTCTTGGGGGGGGGCTTTGAGAAGGGGGCGGTAGGGGACACCTGCCTCTGTAGATGGGAGAGCTCTTCCCCTTGACTCAGGGCATCGTCCTGAGCCTGAGAACTCCCAACTACGGTGGCCAGTGTCAAGGTCCCCTCCAAGCAAACACGGTGGCTCTGCAAACTAAAGTTGCTAAGAGACACAAAAAAAAATACCGAAAGGCCTCTAAACAAGGGCGCACAGATATTCCTTCATTTCGTAGCTGCACAGATTAACCGAGCTTATCAAGGAAACCTAAGGTTGTTCAACAAATTGACAGTATTACACAGATCATGATCATCAAATTCTCTAATGTAAAGTTTGTGAGCTTTATATTTCCAACGCCCTACTGCTACAATCTCTTCTATTGGAGTTTCTAAATTTCACCTCAACGAAGCACCTCCTACACAGAAAGAGTGACCCGTGAGTCTCCCACCAATTTTGTCTTTCCATACATCATCAAATAACTTCATGGCGCAAGCCTTTGTCAGAGTCACATGTTTTCCGTTGGTTGGATAAGAAAATAAGTTGTTGTCCTTGGTCGCGCCTGAACTGGCAATTAAACACTTAACAGCCCCTACTGGGTCCAACAAAGAGTTCTGATGTTTACAATGAATCTCCTGAACCTCCCCGACCGTAGCCGTCTTTGCTTCTCAAATCCTGATAATGCAGTATCTATAATTTGGGTGCCATATGATGTCTTTGACCTTTACTTGATTCACCTTGGTCGAGGACTTCAGCAATTCGCCCAGCCGGGCCATGCCCCAAAAGGCCACCAGTGCCACGGTATAAGCTACTTGCTGCTGTAAACTACCGCCGGAGAGAGTCTCTAACAACATGAACAAGTGTTTTACCATGACTGGGTTTTTCACAACCTTTGGGGCTTTCAGTAGCTCTAGTTTTGCCGCTGCTGTCAGTATGGCCTCTACTTGTGGTGTTGCGTCGTGGGGATACTTGAGATCGTGCAGGAGGTGCCAAGCTTTTATGCCCGATAGATAAGACCAAACGGTTGTTGACTTGATCAGCGGAGATCCTTGGGTTGAATCATTCATGGATAAAAGTGGACTAGCCCATACGACGAAGTCATAGAGAACGTCGGGTTGTAACGGTAGAAGGCGACTTTGGTGAACACATCGTTCCAAAGCATACGACATCAGTTTCGCGACTCCAGCGTTATAGTGCTTCAAAGTTGTAGATGCCCAGGTACCGTTTAAGATGTAAGTTTTAATGTGATCGTCTGTAGAGGAGTCCGTCACATCAGGTCCCCTTAAGAACTCCATGTTGATGGGGTGGAACCTGGTATGTTACAGAATGATGTGGTACGTCAAACCCAGAGTCAAGCAAGGATTAAAAACAATTGATAGCAAAAAAAGGGGTGGAAGAGCGATTGTGAGTGAACAAGGCTTTGTGATCTAAGTCTCACGCTCACACCCGGTGACTTTTTTGTGGCCCAGGGCGTGGCCTATGCCACGCATGGCCTTAAAAACATGGCACAATTCAACAATTTATACACATTATAATGCCACCATCCTTCATGATATTTGCCGCAAAGACGGAACAAATCCAACTCGCCCTCATTGGAGCACAGAGAACACGAAATCACACAGAAGGGCCAGGGCATGGCCAAGGCCGAGGCCCCGGCCCTTGCCCTGAGCCCTGCCGTGGCGCCACGAGGCATCAGGGCATCGGGTGTGAGCGTGATCTAAGTCAACCTGAATGGCCCAAGAGTTCCAGCTATCGGGTTGGGTGCAAAAACTCTGAGGTGTCACAAGTGTCACAAAAAGAAGTAGAGGAATCAAATTCAGATGCATTTCACAGGCATTGTACAACAAACGGTTTCAGATCAACCGGCATGTCAATCAAAATCATATCTGCCACATCTCTACTATCAAGGCCTCTCAAGAGCAAATCGGCCATGTTATCACCGGACTTCACTCGATGGGCAACCACATCTGCGTGCAACTTCAAGAGTAGCTTTTGAATGGATTTCCATTCCATGTTTACCGCCCGGTCACCTGATCGCCTTTTTTCTACAGCCGATTGGGACGTAGTGTTATCGGTGAGTACAACATAACGTTGCCCACCTACTTTATGAAGTTTGCTAATAATGATAAAGCCTAGACGGACCGCAACAGTTTCCGCCCAAGCAATGTTTCGGACAATACCATTGCCAGACCCCACGTTCCCACCGTTTATCAGAGTAAATTGCGCCCAGTGTTTACCACCAACCAAAACACCTATACCATTCAATGATGCGTCGCCGACCCAATCTAGGTCTATTGGTGTGGTGTACGGAATTATTCTCCTTGTATCAAAGGTACACAGTGCCTCATCCCATTCTTGAAGGTCATCATGTACATCATTTGGGATCTTCCTTTTTGCTGATAAGTTCTTCCATCCCTTTTTCCATCTCCATAGACTAGGCATACAGCACTGAAGATGAGGAACTATATAGCAAGTATGCACCAATCTTCCTACAAATTGGTCTGCATCTTTTAAGTAAAAGGATGCTCTTGGTGCGAGAAATTCCGTGAGTTGCTTTCTTCTTTCTTCTAATTTCTCGACAGGGAGTCTAACTGTCCTCTCCTTGGCATTCCAGATAAATCCAATATATTTCTGCTCATCGGCAAAGTTGTGGACCTTCTCTGGTTTTGAGGGAACACCAATTTTGTTGCTTAACTTGACAATGTCAGCAATCGTGGTTTTATTCGTTCTTTCCTTTACTAACAAATTATCATCAACCCATCAAAAGGCTGATTCCAATTTGAAGGCTTTTACATTGATTTTCCGCCACAGATCTGCCGGTCGTCCAAACACGCCGCAGCCGGAGACACCACCGAATTGCACTCAAGTATCCATCCACAATTGGTTGTACAGGTCTAGGTTGAATAGATAACGCCATTGGGACGGGTGAGTGGCTATCTGACAATATGCCTTCTCCCAGTCAAACAACGCTAACATTAAGTCTACGTTATTCCTCTTAAAAACCAAATCACCGCCTTGAAATTGTCCCAGCTGGTTTCAAACTCTTTCTTGTCAACAAAACTGTTTACGGATGGTGTCTCTGGTTTGTCATGAGGAAAAGAAAGATCATTTATAATCCGAAAGGAGCCGTATCCATTAAGGACGCTCCCCATTGGGTTTGAACGGAAGAAACCAATCTTTGCATACACCTGTTTGTGAGTAAAAGGACCGAAGATCCGCACAGCTCTCTTTTCTTTTGCAAGTGTGTTTTTGATCTTCTCCTCAGCCAGGATAGCTGACTCGTGGTTCTTTGGAGTGAACCACCTACGTGACCCCATGTCGTGTTGGGGGATACCTTGGTGGAAACCTTCTTTGCAACCCTTCAAGACCTCCGGTGCGTCACCTCCTATCTCTAGTTGGTCTACCAAGGAGCGCCACTTAGGTATATTCAATTCGCAGCTTGCTTCTTCATCAGGCCACCTTCCACAGCAAGAGCTTCCCGAATTCCCATAAGGAATCATCTTGACCTTCCCTGACTTTTGTACCTCAGGAACGACACGTGGAAGGGTTTGATGACAAGGTCCAGGTGTTGGACGCACACCTTCAATTTCTTGAGGCTCTCTATGAAACGGTCGAAAGAAGTTTACGGACAAGGTAGGCAAAATTACGTCAGACATGCGGTCATTGACACCAATCAACACAGAATGAATTGCAAGATCACAATCCAATAGGAATGTTCAAGGACAACATCGGAAGCCACAACAACAGAGTGCCCAATCTAACACAGGATCATCATTGCAAAGCGGGAACAAACAAACAAGAAGTAACATTTTTTTATATGTTTTAGTGGCTGAAAACATGATGGCTGCCAAAAGGTACTCAAAACACCCTAGGTATGTAGGGAACTCATAAGAGTAAACCAATTCAAAAGAAACCAAATTCTTGCAAGGCTTACTTCGCCTTTCCATTTCCAGTGAAATATTTCCCACCGTGATGATCTCGGTCTTCAGCGTGACGGTTGTCTTGTCTATCATCCCGACACCACGACCCGCCACCTTCGCCTCTGCAAGAATTTTCATTGGATCTGCGTGTGGGGGGACTACGGTCTCTGCTCAAATTATTGTGCCATCCACCCCCGCGACCTCTACCTCAAACATTTCTTCCACCGGTTCAACGATCCTCCCAATAGGTGTGGGGTGAGCCACCTGGTCCATTGTAAATCGGTTGGTTGGTGTGAGCCCACGACCTGGCGTTTGGTTTGCTAGGTCCGTGATTGCTGACATTGTATAAACCAGTACCGAAAGGGACATTTTCAAAGTGCAGGTTGTTACTATGCACGTCGGCAGAGGAGCCGGTGACCGAGTTTTGAGATAACAGAGCATTGTGCATATCTTCTCCAGTAATTGGATTGAAGGTGGCTTTGACACACCCATCAGCGTAAGGGTTGATGTCGTTGAAAGCTGGTAAAAAATCTCCAAATTGTTCCGTATCTCGAAAGGCATTACGCTCGATTTGTTTGTTTCTAACGGCAGGGTTCGCAACTTTCACGTTGGCATTTCAAACAGTCATAACCGTGGTACGAATGGCGATGTTGTACCTGAAGGCCATGGGCCAGTTGAAATTCTCTTTCTTGATCTCCATGACCGTTGCTTTATGAGTGACAAATCTATCCGCTAGATTCCCGTGTTCGTAGAATCAAAGATAGGCCACGAATAGGTCAAACACAACAACCCATTCCCCAAACAACATTTTCCACTCTAGAGGAACAGGCATTCCAATGTGGACGTGATTGACCTTCTCTTGAGTAGTGCAACTACAAAAGCTTTGTTGGATGAGGTCTTGTTTCAGCCATTGAGTGTTGAAGACGCTTGGAGGTATATAGCCCTTGGGGCCTTTCATTTTCTTGTCAAAGTAGTCCAACAGAGAGACTAAACCGTTTGAATCAATTCCTTTGTCATCAACCTCAGCTTTACCATCCTTGTCTGCGGTAGTAGGTTCAGGTCCTTTAGTAGTCTCGGCCGCCCTAGAGTTTTTGGCCCCGTCACTCTCTGCGTTGTCGATATTCGAGAGATCAACAAAACCAATGTTTTTGTTCTTCTGCACAGGCTTTGCAGTTGGGACTGACGTGCATTTAGTGACTGAGTTCACGTTGCCGGAGGTGTTAACGGTGACTGAAGCAGACAAAAGATCTGATGCTGGTAAGACTGCGAGGCCGTTGGCCGCCAGCCAAGAATGGAAGCCTCTAGAGTCTAGGAGGACTTATACCTGCTCTGGTAATGGTGCTTTGACGTGCGGGGGATTGTGTAGCTGAACCCAGACAAGCAGAAATTATGAAGAGTAAAACCAAACCAGGTCAGGATCCATCGTATTTGGGAACATCTCTCAGTTGGAGGCAACATCAAAATGATGGCTACACATGGATGACATGTGGCATTGCTTTGCATGGCAGCACCTTGGTGGGTAAAGTTAAAAGGGTCGCAGTGACAATTTGCTTACAAGTCAAATTTTCAGTAGTCTCGTCTCGTTCAATTTGACCTGTAGGTCCCGAGGTATCTCCTATGCTGTTACTCAGATCCTCATCTGGATTGGTATTCAAAGCTGGGTTTTCCTTATTGGTAGGATTCACAACATTCCTGGTTGGGTTGGCAGAAGCATCAGAGGTCAATGTGTCTGTGTTAGCTGAGGCAGTGGCGGCAGCTGCAGCTGCAGCTTCGGTGGCGAGGGTTTGAGCAGCGGCACTAGCTCTGGTATTGACAGCTGTCAATTTTTTCCCCCGGGTTCTACCCCTGCCTCTTGACGGAGCACCTCTAGCGCTGTTGGTGGTGTCGGTGCCTTTATTGGTCTCAATGGTTGTGCCAGATGTAAAAGGTCTGTCTTCTAAAGGTGCTGATCCCGCTCTGTTAGATAGTCGCTGACTGGTCCTCTTCACATTATCATTGAACTTCTCTAGGTTGGTAACAATTCTGTTTTCTTCGGACATGGTTGAGGAGTTTTGTATATAAAAGAAAAAAGGTTTTTAGAGAAAAAACAGGTTATTGAAAAATGACACTGCTGAGGTAGTGTGTCAAAGGTTGACAGCGCAGGTTGTTGAAAAACAACACTGTGTTTATTTTCAAAAAAAGAGAGAAGTTGTGAAGGGATGAGAGAGGCTTTCCAAGTCGGCGGTGAGAGAAGGATAGCGGACAGAAAATTCTGACGTGTGGGGAGAATTAGGGAGAGAGGAACGGAAAGAAATTTTCCGGCTCAGCATTCCCCTATCCCTGCAACATCCGTCCGGCCCGCTATGAGCCGCTATATTGTAGAATTTTCGTAGTGGAGCGCGCGGGCGCTATATAGCGACCCGCTATTGGCCAATATCATGCCTATTAGTATGGCTTTTGAAGATAGCGGCTCGCCCGAGGCGCTATACACACGCCGCTATACGATATTTAGCGCTCTGGAGCGCTCGGGAGATACGCCGTTACAGAGCGCTATGACCCCAAGTTACAGCGCTGTGAGACCAGATTGTAGCGCTGTGATAACAAACATAGCACCAAAAGGTTTGATTATTGAATTTTAAAGTAGGAAGTGGAAGAAAAAGTATATATTGTAATTAAAGAGAAGAGAAATTAAGGTTAAGAAAAATCATATTAAAGTGTAATTAGTAGAATGAGAAGATTCAAAATGATAAAGGACAAATCATGAGATCGAAAAAACAAGAAGTAAAACAAATAACAACTACGCCTTTTTCTTCTCAATACTCCTCAACATTTCTTCTTGAATGAGGGCCCATGCCTCCTTGAAGTCGCCTTCGGGCTTCACGATCTCTGATTTCAACCATAGGCGACATCCCACAGCTCGCTCCATCTGCTTTGGAGCCATTGCGCCACGTTGAGTAGTGCAGACATCTGCCGCCGAAGAGAACGTCCTCTCAACAGTACATGAGGTACCTGCACATCCCAAAGCATCACGCGCAATCCTTGAGAGAACAGGATATGAACGTGCATGTTCCTGCAAATCGGAAGCAGTGGTAAGTAAGTTTCCAATCTGAGACAGAAAGTCACATACATTCCACCAGTCAAGCATTGTCATCTTCGGATCTGAACAGTCATGATCCCAGTCGAGATACCTTGCTAGCTCAGACTTGATTGTCCTACTGGCCAAGTCACGAGCTTTTGGATTGCACGTTTCGGCCAGATGTGGGTCAGCCAAAGTCTCGACTACAGGCGTCTCTGGGGTGGCAGTGCCACCACCTTCAGCGATCCACTCCTCTTCATATCTATCGTATTCAGATTGAAGCAAGTCTTGAATCCGGGTATGATTGGTTGGGAATTGATTTTCGATGTAGGACATTCGCAGTCGAGGATTGAGGATAGTTGCAAGTGCAATAGCATCGCACTCAATTGCTTCACGTTGGTATCCATGCAACTTGACTAACATTCGCTGAATGGTTGTCTGGATCTGCCGATAAGGACATTTAGCACAGGCAGCCCGCAGCGCAGCCGATATCATTTCATACTCGCGCAACATGATAGCAGCTGTGGGATGATCCCCCTCGACGCGGTAAGTGGCTTTCAAGAAAAGCTGCAATAATTCATTCGATACATCAGTAATATTCAACCAAGCGGATTGCAAATTTGAAAGACACTTACCTCGGTCACTTCATTGAGAGCCCGAACAGCGGCCCACTCGCTTCCGGTGATGTGAAGGTCACCGTAGTAAGAGCCACCCGATTCGTCCGACATCATTTGATTGATAACCTGGATAAGAAAACCCAAAGTCAAAATGAATCAGTAGGTAGGACAAGATACATACGGGAAATGACAGAGAACATACCTTGTAACCGTCGCATGCACGCTGCCGAGCGTCATGCTTCCCGTTCCAGCGGTGACAGCTTCCTGAGACTATGCCTTTGCCACCCCCTTTCAAAGCCTTGAATTGATCACGGCGCGGTCCACTTGAAGATATCAACGCGATTGCCTTGTCCACCTGCCACCGGATGAATTAATCAAACGATTTAATACATGTTGTTAAAAAGATTGATCATAAGATTTGGTGAAGGTTTCTTTTACAGGATGACGAGCGTACCTTACGGACAGCGAGTCGTACATCGACCTCCTTCCATCCACCAGAGGGCATTACTGGGTCCGCTGGTGCTGGCGGAGTTCCCCGAACTGCAACGTCTTCATCTAGGTCTACTCCAGTGCCCTCCTTGTCATCGCTCAGTTCGGCGTGCATCCCATGATCTTCACAATCTGAATCTTCCTCATTTTCAGGAATGACAACCTCGTCTTGACCTTGATTTAAGGTGAAAGTCGGAAGAGAACTGTGAGGGGTTGTAGGTTTGATGTGACCGGCTGCAAGGTCGAGAGACTTCAGACCGTCTTTTACAACCAAGGCAAACTTGTGGGCGATGCATCAAATCTGCATTTTATCGGCATTCCACTTGACGGGTTGCTGAGCCGCTGCAAACTGATCTGCGAGCTCAGAGGCCAATGTCGCATTATTGGATCCTGAATCAGTTGTCTGTGCGTACATGTAAACAAATGAATGATAACAAGTCAGCAAGTGAACAATCCAGGATCGTATTTGGAACAAATTTCCTTTCATACCAAGGAAACACTCATCTTTTTATGTAGTCCGTGCTTAATGAGGAACTTAGCCACAGGACGAGCTAAGAGGTTTCCATAATGATGCCAAGCGATTAATTTGAAAGCCAAGTGGACGCTTTGGAACTTCCAATCGCTATCGATATAAGTTGCTGTGATTCCAATAAAGGCATGGCGCTTTCCTTTGGTTGTCCACACGTCGTGGACCAAAGTGAAGCGACCAGGAATGTTCTAGTGTTTGAGACAAAGAAAAATGTGAATACAAATGAGAACCAAGATAGAGCAAAACCTCTGACCTTTAACATATTGACCACATTACTTTGCATGTCATTGAATATGGTGGTAGCTGCCTGTGCTGCCCATACACTCGAACGAATAGCAGCTGACACGTTAGCCAATCTGAAGGCTGCTCGCAGTGGATGATCGTCCATCCGTGCCCATGGCAACGCGTGTCGAAGGAGCCATATCACCATTACCCCATTCAATGTTTCCTGACAAAATTTCTTTTTTGAAACAAAGTTGTCAAGCGTCGCATTATTTTTCGCGCCTCTAGCAGCAGCAGCCATGCATTTGGGATAAGTAAGTGGCAGATTGGGTAAATCCTTTGAAGCTAGTCGACGGCCTGGACAAACTGGACGTGATTCGGTTCCGTCTCGGTGGCCTTTGAGATTGGACCATCCAGCAGGTCCTTTGGCAAATACTCCAGGACAGTATTTGCACGGATAACCCCTCTTGATCCCGGTCGATTCCTAGTAAGACATATAGCAACAGGTTTATGAATTGTAATCGAGGAAAGTCTTGATAGGGATGGAATTTGTTTACCTCGCCTTTGATGTATTCTGCCTCATGAAAGTATAATTGAACATTTTCGGCGTCCTCCTGATATTGAATTCGGATCCCCTTCGATCGAGTGGAAGTTTTTGGTTGATCATGATCATTGTCCTGGTCCACATCAATAACCTCGGGAACAGGTATGTGCTTAGCAAGGCCACACCAATATCGTCAGTAAAATACAATAACAAAAGGAAAGGTAAGAGGATCCAACTAACTTTATTAGTCCGTCCTCGCTTGTGAGAGACAGGGCCTTCTGGGTCCAATTCAACTGATTTCCGGGGTCTTTTACCGTTCTTTGTTTGAGTCTTTGGAGTAGGGGACTGTTGCAAACCTAGATCTTGTTGTAGTTCTCCTTTGTTGTGAGAAGATGTGTCCTTGTCCAGATCTCCTTGATTACGAGAAGAAGAAAGATGTGCTGGGTGAGATACAGAGAGAGATAGACGAGAATCTTGCGATGTAGTAATCATATTGGGAGATATAACAGGTACACGTGCTCGTGTGCTTTGACATGATGGGGTAACTGTTGAAGCTGGCAGGCGAAGAAGTGAGCTAGAAGGCGTCGATTGTGTTCCGGACATGATGGAGAGCAGAATTAGGAAACGGAACTGGAATTGGAGGCTAGATATCTATCAAATATAAAATAAGATATAAGAGATGTAGATTAAATATAAATGAATAATAAGAAGGAAAGGTAAGATAATTAGCAATAATGACGATGGAAGTTAGGTAGAATAAAAAAACTGAAGATTCAAGAGGTGGGGAGGAATGATGGAAAGGAATGTGAATGGAACTAGGATACTTGTACTCACCTGGTAGAGTCTAGCCCCTGGCTTGATTGCGTCTGGGTACATTCAATTGGGAGGAATGTGCTGATTGGTAGTATGAGACATGCTTGAGGGATTGTGTTGCCTAATTCGGATGCACCTACTTAAAATCAGCAAGGGGTTTTCATCATTCGACCCCGGTGCTCTCTGCGGTCCTAACCCATAGCGCTGTGTATAGCGCTACATGTGGCAATACACATAGCGCTACATATGGCGCTTGATAACGCTTTGAAGCGCTATACAACTGATCACTACGTTATAACAGGACAGAAATCCTACAACACCACTCGTGATCGACGGATAGCGGGCCAGCAGGCAACTATAAATATAACGCTATGAGTATAGTGTATGGCGCTCCGCTATGTAATATGTAGCACTATTTACAGCGGGCCGGACGGATGTTGATCCCTGCGCGTCAGAGAATCTGTATCCTCAGTAGAAGGATACAATTCCCAGAATTGACGTGGGGCAATATCTACACCGTCTCATGGAAAGCGGTGGTACCGTCGTGCCTTTGGGTACCACCAAACATCTTGTAGATCTTGTGATTCTGATCAATGGTTGGCATCACAAGAGTTATCTCTGATGTGTGATGGATTAGTACCGTCTTTCCATAAAAGATTGTCCAAAAAGCTTTCAAGAGTTAGAGCCTTGTTTGTGAATCTAAAAGGCAATCGAGCCGATCTTGAGTAAGCCAGGTCAAACCTGACCTGGCTAAAGACCCTGACCGTGTC